GGGGGGGGCAATCAAAACAAACACAAATTTATTGCTCTTTTCTATAAATCTGCTAATTTCAAAATCAAAGAAAAAGAAAAATGCCTCTTGCCCTGTAATCAAACCATTCACTATGCAAGGAGATCAAACATGTTAGCAAAGCAGGAAATCGCAGTTTAATTTGGACTTAAAATTAAACTCTTGTCAGTCAAAATTCAGAATTCTGCTTTGTTAAATGTTGTTCTTTTCTCCCATGAGCTTGATAAGGAATGTTCATCTTGCCCCTCTCTCTCTTCACATCAGTTTAAAAAGTGTCCGTATACATTTTGTTTGACCAAGCCAGTTTAATTTTGTTACAGATAACAATGGACTCTGTAAATCTTTAAAGCTGTAAGCCATTATTTCTTGAACAAAAGAAATGAGAGAGAAAGAGACAAGATTAGAACAGCAACCCTGGATATATAAGACTAGAGAAAAAAAATCCAAAATAAAAAATCTGTCAGCAAAAAATAAGCCAAGGTGGTGGGCCATGCAGCAGTTGCTATGGAAACCTAGGGCTTATTACCTTAGACATATAGTCATTAGGATTCATATAGATATCTGCAGAACCATAGATGGCATTGGCATCTGGCTCCTGTCAAGAGAAGCTTAGCTAATTATTCAAACATGGCTTACACAGAGGAACAGTGTTTGAAATTTCATTGGACCCCGGCAGATGTTCTTGCAATCAAAACAAGGGCAGATTTAGAGGGTCTCGTAGGTTTTCCAGAAAGAAAGAAATGACTACAATGTTCTAAATGTATGTAGGTGATTTCACATCATAACAGGCTGTCAAAACACTGTAAACCTTGATGATGTCCTGAGAAGCCCCTGAGCAGCTTTTCTTTTGTCATTTCTTAAGAAAATTTTCACCACTAGTCTTCATGTTCCAAACATTGCTAAAATCAAGATAAAACCTGAAACTAAATCAAGCACACCTGTTATCCTCATAACTTAAGGAAAGTGGTAATCTGAAAAAGCAGAAAAAAAGCCAAGGTGACTGCATGAAAAGCCAGACACATATTGCTAATGCTGCAAGAAAATATATATAAAAAAGTGAAGCATGAATCTTATATCATTCAAGTAAATAATATTAAGCATTTAAGTATAACATTAAAATATAAAAGGCTTTTTTTCTTCAATATTATTCAATCACAGGATAAAGTCAATACAACAAAACTTGCTTTTAAAGTTTTATTATTTTTTGTCATATATAAACTGTATAAAACTGAAATTCATGACTCCAGGTGGTAAGGCTCTTTAAACTGGTTATTCTATAACAGCAAAGATACTCTCATGTCTTCCTACCATTCCTATCTGTGAGACTAGCTCAGCATTGACGGCGTACTTTAACCTCATCTTACGATAGAGAGGGTTCTTTTCGTAATACTGCACCAATTCCAAAAGGCTCTCAAACTGGGCGTTGCCGATGGTGAAAAGACGACCTTCCAACTTGATACGACAATGCTTGATTTTTCCCTCAGCTCTGTGCAAATATAAGAGCAAATAAGCCATTAACATTTAGTTGAATAGTAATGCAAATAGACTGAAATGCATGTTTTACTGCTTATGTACAAGTTAAGTCATTTTTACATTATTTTGTTAATTATTTTCAAATTTTAATAATTTTCAATTTATTCAAAACAAAATTTTGGTTACCATTACTTAACACAAAGATATGTCATTCAAAAATAAAATCATGTGTTCAAATGTCATTTCAAACATTAATTTTTCCACAATAATTGCAATGAAATACCACAATGCTTAATCTTTCAACTGCACAAAAAACAGGAATCATTTCATTTAAAAATCATTACAAAGAGAAATTGGCTTATGAGCAACACAACAAACTTGCAGGGGGAATCTCTACTCAATGTTTCATAACAATCTAGCTTCTATGTTCACAAATACAAAGCTTATAGCGTTCATGCAGTCAGTGTCAGCTTAGCTTGGTGTATTACATAGATAACATATGCAACCAAGACTGTGGAGCCATTTCAGGTGTTATTTTATCTCCAAAAAATAACATTCATAAAAATTGGAATACTACAAGGCACACATACAGAATCAGAGATTTTTTTTTTTTTAATGAGAAATACTCCATAATGATTGCATTCATTAGATTTTTAACAAGCAGTTCTTAAATTACTCAAGCAAAAAGCAGAAATTTAATGTCTCACATCAATGCAAAAAAAGGCACAAGATGAAGAAAAATTCATGGAAAACATTAATTTTTTTTTTGCTAAATAATAGGATGAAACAATCTATTTCACAATGGCGAGGCATGACAACAGCAGCAAAATGAACATAATCAACACCAGCATAATAAATCCAATGAGTGTCTAGGCCACGGGCTGGTTTCAGGCTGAAAATGTTGGTCTCCGCCAGTTCAAAATATATCTGTAGTATATTTCTCAAAGATAAAGCCTCTTATGGTTTAAATTATCCATCTTTATACACAAAAGATACAATATTTCACTTGACTTACATAAAGTCAAAGCAAGGTAGAAAAATTTGGGCTCAAAGAGACCAATTCTGGTCCAAAGATCTTTTGTGAAACCGGCCGCTGGCGAGATATGAAGCTGCGGAGTGATGACACTTAACTTCTCATCGTTTACCTGAACGAGATGGCATACTGAAACTCATCTTTGTCAGATGCTTCAACTCGCTTCCGGACCAAATAAGCTCCGTTGTATGGAATTCTGCATAACATGTCTTCAGCTTGTTCTCGCGTTAAATTCTCATGATACCATCTACAAATATCACATTAATGATTGCACATCAACAACTACATATATGTTAGTATATATATATATATATATAATGGGAATACCTATCTGGGATGTTTATCCCACTTACCGAAATGAAATCGCAAATTGGGATGCCTCAGTATCATTGCCTGCGACATTTCTTTTGCGCACGAGGAATGCACCATTGTAACGTATACGACTAAGCATGTCCTCAGCTTTTTCACGCGACAGAGCCTCATGGTACCATCTGAGAAACAACAAAGGTTAGTACTACATGCAATATAATGGAAGACAAATCACAAAATGGCATGATCTCGCTCCCTTCACTTTGGAGAATGGATGCATAGGACTTGTTTTTCTTCTTTTAAAGAGACAAACTCCAGTATATTGGTGCTCCTACACTGCATGAATCTTTGCACACATGCACACACGCACACCACACACAGAAATCCATCTTCTACTGCTTCGCATCACTCAAAAACAAACGTTGGTCAACCTACATCATGCAAAATGAACATAAGTACTAGGTCAACTCAAAGCAGGCCATTTCCATGATAGTTTTATGGAAAGCTGATTTTTTAAATAATCCTTGCTTTTGATGAGCAGAGGAAAGGATATGGTCAGCTTCAAGTTAACATCTAGTTGTACTAGACACTGAGGAGAGGACAGGTTTTTGAATTATCCAAAATAACACATTTGAAATTCACTGAGAGGCACATGCGTCTAAGATGAATTTTTAGGAATTTTTTCATTTTCAAATACATCTTCGACTTGCCCCTCTGCAGAATCCCCCCCGGGTTTTTGTTTTGTTTTCCCCAAAAATCAGCAACCATCAGTGTACTAAAATGATTCAAATTGTAAAAAAATGCATCATCATGGCACCAAGCATGGTAATGTGTATCAACACTAACAAAAGTAACTGTCAAATCTTGGCAACTGGGTCATGCAAGATCCACGATGCTGGCAAATGCACGATCACATGCACCATGGCAAGGTGCAAGGGCTGTCTTCACCTGAAGGAAATGGCGTAAGAAGAGGAATCAAATTCACTGTGGCGGAGAAGAAAAGCTCCGTCGAAAGGAATGCGTGCTAACATGTCTTCTGCAATGGCGCGGTCCATCCCTTCATGATACCATCTAAAACATAGACAAACTTGGTATTATAGATAAAGTTGCTTTGATGCTAAAAATACAGTGTTCTTATGGTGCCCAATTTAAATGGTTCCCTCAAGCTGCAAAATATAAATGGAAGGCTCAAATTCAAATAGGGCCCTCAAGGTGTTCAAACCCAAATAAAGTTATCCGAGTTTAAAAAAGATGTCAAGGTCTTTGATTAACAAAACATAAAATGATATCATTCTAGTATGGTAAAATCTCTGTTATCAGCGTACATTTACCATTTCCAGTAACTTTTTTCTTGTCACTGGAGATGGCAATGGTCTGTTGATAATAGAAGTCCTCAGTAAACTTTGACATACAGGGTATATAGAACATGCTACATATTAACAAGGCAGCAAAGCTGTCAAATGTACAGACAAAAAGCAGGAAATAACAAAAAAGGCTACTGTCAATTCTGATGCAAAAGTACATTTTGTTAAACTGCAAATTCAACATCAAATTTTAATTATGCTCAACAGGTAAAATACATCTGTGTCTGTACATAAAAACGGCATTTCTTTAAAATAATGGCCCGATTATGCTGATTTTTGAACTCAACCTGCGATTTAGCAGGAATGACCACTCCTGTGAGTTTAATGACAATTGGCCTATCTGTTTTTCTTATATTGTGTTTACAGTGTTGCATATATGCTGAAAAGTGAAAAAAAAAGCATAACTACTAAAATAGTGGCCCGATCATGCCGATTTTTGAACTTGACCTGCGTTTTAGTAAGATCAATTACTCTGCATTTTAGTCCTGTATTTCTTTTTTGAAAGTTTGACAATCATAAGTAACATGGTTTTCCCATAATGGTCATCTTGGCAGCAGCACCCAAAATTGTGTTTTCTTCTATTCTGATGCAATATTACATAATGGTTAACAGCAAAATGACCGTTAATTTTTAATAATAAAATACACGTATCATGGATTTTCAGAAAATGTGACTAGCATGGGTCTTCAAGCCCGTGGAACATGCCGATTTTCGAACTTGACCTGTGTTATAGTAAGATCAATTACTCCTGTGATTTTCATGACAACAGGCCTATCGGTTTTCCTTAAAATGTGTTTACAGTGTTGCATATATGCTGAAAAGTGAAAAAACAGCATAACTTCTACAATAATGGCCCGATCATGCTGATTTTTTAACTTGACCTGCGTTTTATGAATATTCATCAGCTCTGTCAATATAAAGCCAAAAAGTAAAACTGCCCTCCACTTATCGTGTTTACAAGGAAAGTGCACGGCGCCGGCATCGCCATCGGCATCGCCATCGGCGACGGCGACGACAGACGCAGGTGATGGCAATATGTACAGACACATCTGTGTCTGTACATAAAAATGTTATGTATGCATTTCTTGATATATATTTATGTACAACTTATCATTCTTTATGTAATACCAAAATACCTTAGTCTCTTCAAAATCATTTTTATGTCACATTTTCACTTTGAGATTTACAGCTAAAATCAGCCCAAGAGCAAAATCAAGCAAAAGAATAACAAAAACATTGTCTAGTGTATCTTAAATTGGAAAACCAAGCAAAGATACAAGCTGAAAACAGCACCCCTATTCTCCGTTAACAAAAACTCGGGAGATAAAAGCACCAAAACCAACTCACATTTGTGATAAACTCCAACTCGTTGGGATCAGCATACGAGTTACCTTCGTAAATGGACTCCATTTGCGGGTCCTAAGGACGGGGGGAAAATGAAAGGAAAAAATGTCATGCAGGAGAAAAATGCACTGTGAAAAATCACAAGAGGGCTACAATTGCCAATATATCATTTTGCGCCATGCAAATCAAGAGGATTACTCAGGAATGGTGTTCTCTGCTGTGAAAGCCACTGTAACCAAGGGGTAATAAAAATTTCACCTGAAAGTGTGTTATTTTGGGTGTTGCCTCCAGAGAGGGGGGGAGGGACCAGGGCATTGCCTGGTAAAGGAAAAGCTTAAATGTACGAACTTTGTGGCATGCACTGATAGGATTTGATT